CCAGGAAAAGTGTACAGTAGGGTTATTATTGAAAGAAATAGAGGTAGGATAGAGAGTAGGACTGCAGATCAGCAAGGAGGCTTTAGAGTGGGTAGGGGATGTGTAGGTAGAGTGTTTACATTGAAGCATATATGTGAACAGTATTTAGATAAAGATACAGAAGTTTTCATTGCATTAATGGATTTAGAAAAGGAATATGATAGAGTGGATAGAGGAGCAATGTGACAGATGTTGCAAGTATATGGAATAGGTGGTAAGTTACTAAATGCTGTAAAGAGTTTTTATGAGGACAGTGAGGCTCAGGTTAGGGCATGTAGGAGAGAGTAAGATTACTTCCCAGTAAAAGTAGGTCTTAGACAGGGATGTGTAATGTTACCATGGTTGTTTAATATATTTATAGATGGGGGTTGTAAAAGAAATAAATACTAGGGTGTTGGGGAGAGGGGTGGGATTAAATTATGGGGAATAAAGTACAAAATGGGAGTTGACACAGTTACTTTTTGCTGATGATACTGTGCTTATGAGAGATTCTAAAGAAAAGTTGCAAAGGTTAGTGGACAAGTATGGGAAGGTGTGTAAAGGCAGAAAGTTTAAAGTGAATATAGATAAAGAGTAAGGTGATGAGGGTATCAAACGATTTAGATAAAGAAATTAATTGGATATCACATTGTAGAGAGGGAGTATGGAAGAAGTGAGTGTTTTCAGATATTTGGGAGAGTCATTCATTCATGTTGATTCGCCGGTACTTCCGGCCCGGGTCTTCTCCAGATGGTGACCCGGCGATTTGGGAGATGACTTGTCAGCGGATGGGTATATGAAAGATAAGGTTAACCATAGAACTGATGAAGGAAAAAAAAAAGGCGAGTGTGCGTTGAGGTATCTGTGGAGACAAAAAACATTATCTGTTGAGGCAAAGAAGGGAATGTATGAAAATATAGTGGTACCAACACTCTTACATGGGTGTGAAGCTTGGGTTGTAAATACTGCAGCGAAGAGGCAGTTGGAGGCGGTGGAGATGCCGTGTCTAAGGACAACGTGTGGTGTAAATATTATGCAGAGAATTCAGAGTATGGAAATTAGGAGGTGTGGAGTTATTAAAAGTATTAGTCACAGGGCTGAAGAGGGGTTGTTGAGGTCATTTGGTCATTTAGAGAGAATGGATCAAACTAGAATGACTTGGAGAGCGTAAAAATCTGTAGGGGAAGGAAGGAGGAGAGGGGTCATCCTCAAAAAGGTTGGAGGGAGGGGGTAAAGGTTATGTGGGCGAGGGGTTTAGACATCCATCAAGCGTGTTAGATAGGAGTGAATGGAGACAAATGTTTTTGGGACCTGAGAAGCTGTTGGAGTGTGAGCAAGGTAATATTTAGTGAAGGGATTTAGGGAAACCAGTTAGCCGGACTTGAGTCCTGGAAATGGGATGTGCAATGCCTGCACTTTAAAGGAGGGGTCTGGGATACTGACAGTTTGGAGGGACTTCTGAACTGTCACATCTGAGCGCCTCTGCAAAGACAGTGATTATGTGTGAGTGAGGTGAAAGTGTCGAATGATGATGAAAGTACTTTATTTGGGGGATTTTCTTTCTTTTTGGGTCACCCTGCATCGGTGGGAGATGATCGACTTGTTGGAAAAAAAAAAAATTGCTCAAGATCCATAACAGTATAAAGTAACTAAGGACTGCAGTCTTCTGAAGACGTAAGAGGATGACCATCAGTTTCGACATAAAATAGGCTATTTTACATAGGACTGATGCAAGTGAGAAACCAGGTGCAGTGATAAGTGCTCAGTGTATGAATATTATCACCATCTCCTGAGTATATGTGACTTTATTTCCATAAATATTGCTCTAATAGCAATATTATTGAAATTTCTGGAGAAGCAAACCATTTGGGGTCCAGGTAAAAAACCAATGAGCTTGTTTTCAAGCATCCTATTGCTAGCTTGGAATTTAAAAGGCTGAATTTTCTTCAATATCACACTAATGGCACAAGTACTGTATGGAAAATCTGTAAGAAATCTTCCTCTATCAGTGCCTGAAAAAAAAAAATTAATGAAGTACACGTCACTAGATGTTTTACTTCTCCTTTCCGGTGAATAAGACATGTACACCACCAGGCTATCCTTATCCCAGAGATGTCTTGCCAATCAATGGCTTTATCAACCCAATAGATAGAATAATTACTTTGAGATGGTGGAAGATATGAAGAAGTCTCAAGTGACCAGTCCCTCAACCTCGATAGCAAACATTCTACTTATTCATTAATAATTTCTTCTTTCTGTTTTTTGATGAAGAGAAGGTTAATATATGTTGTTCACTCTTTGTAAAAATGTTGTTTGTGCATATGTGATGCTCCAATAAAACGTTCTCAATGATTTTTTTTTTCACCATCATTCAAATAACATCACTACCTTTGCAGAGGCACCCAGATTTGAAAGTTTAGGTGTCACTCCAAACAGCCAATATCCCAAACAGGGCAAGATCCAGCATCAGCGAGGTCAAAAGCTCACTGCCCCAGGGCACTGTCCTGGCACCTCTGCTGTTCCTCATCCTCATAGCAGACATAGACAAAAACACCCAGCACACTTTTGCATCATCATTTGCAGATGACACTAAAATAAGCATGAAAGTCACTATGGTAGAGGACACTGAAAAAGTACAGGAAGACATAAACAGGGTTTTCCAGTGGGCAGTGGAGAACAACATGACGTTCAATGGTGGTAAGTTCCAGCTGCTTAGGTATGGAAAAAGTGAAGAACTCAAAAGGAGCACTATATACAAAACTCAAGAGGGTCACCAAATAGAACGTAAGGAACACGTAAAAGACCTAGGAAAAATTATGTCAACGGACCTTTCTTTTAAAGACCATAACAAGACAAAGATCATGACAGCCAGGAAGATGACGGGGTGGATATTGAGAACTTTCAAAACAAGGGGAAATAATGCCGATGGTGACACTCTTCAAATCGCTAGTGCTCCCTCACTCAGAATATTGCTCTGTGCTGACAGCCCTGTTCAAGGCAGGAGAAATATTGGAGCTGGAAAAAATACAGAGATCATTTACGGCTCACACTGAGCCAGTAAAGCACCTAAACTACTGGGAACGCCTGCAAGTCTTGAACATGTACTCATTGGAGTGGAGGAGAGAGAGGTACATGATAATATATACCTGGAAGGTACTCGAGGGCTTGGTCCCAAATCTGCACACTGCCATAACAATATATTGGAGTGAGAGATATGGGAGGAAGTGTAAAATAAACCCAGTGAGGAGCAGGGGTGCAGTGGGGACAATAAGGGAACACTGTATCAACATCCGGGGTCCCAGACTTTTCAACATTTTACCAGAAGATATCAGAAACACTGCTGGAACAAGTGTAGAAGCCTTCAGGAGGAAACTAGACAAGTATCTTCACCAGTTGCCAGATCAACCAGGCTGTGATGGATATGTGGGGCAGCGGTCTCCAGCAGCAACAGCCTGGTTGGCCAGGCAAGCACCAGATGAGCCTAGCCCATGGCTGGGCTCAGAGTAGACAAACTCTCAAACTCTTCAAAGGTATCCTCCTTTAAGGTGCAGGCATTGTACTTCCCACCTCCAGGACTCAAGTCTGGCTAACTGGTTTCCCTGAATCCCTTCACAAAATATTACCTTGCTCACACTAGCTCATCAAGTCTCAAAAACCATTAGTCCCCATTCAATTACAGTATATCTAACATGCTCACACATGTCAGCAGCATGTCCAAGCCCCTTGCATGCTAAACTTCTTTCACCCCCTCAATCCATCCTTTTCTGGAATGACCTCTACCTTTCCTCCCCTTCACTACAAATTTATACACCCTCCAACTCATCCTATTTTGTTCCAACCTCTCTAAATGACCAAACCACCTCAACAACCCCTCCTCAGACCTCTCAATAATAATTTTAGTAATTCCACACCTCCTCCTAATTTCCAAACTATGAATACTCTGTATAATATTTACACCACACATTACCCTTTGACTCGACATCTCCACTGCCTCCAGCCACCTTCTTGAAGTTTTTCCATCAGTGAATGAGTTAAGTGGGGTTATTTGCAGCAGCAAGTTTGTCTTATTTCTCTACCCTTTTAGTTCTGATTTCCACCCACTCTTTCATCATACATATTCTTGATACATTCTTATTATTACTTTTTAACACATCCGTCCCCCATCGAGGCAGAGTGAACCAAAAAGAAAGAAAAAAAAAAACTTTCATCACTGTTCAACACTTTCACCATCATTTGTACATAATCACTGTCTCTGCAGAGGCACTCAGATACAGCAGCTTAGATGTCACTCCTAACATAACTAGATTTATTCACAATGGCACACAGTTTTGAAAGACATTTGAATGAAATAATTTATCATTACTGTAGTGTTAATTAACAATGAACCGAGGCAGGGTGACCCTAAAAAGAAGAAATGAAGTTTTTCTTCTTTTTACATTTAGTAATTTAAACAGAAGGGGTTACTAACTCCTAGCTCCCAGCATTTTTGTTGCCTCTAACGACATGCATGCATTACTGAGGAAGGATTCTTCTCCACTTCCCCATGGAGTTACCTTATTTACCTACAACAATTATATTGTTCCCTGGAAATGGGAAGTACAATGCCTGCAATTAAACCCTTAAACTGTCCAAATATAGATCTACGTTCACTCACATCGCGCTCCGAATGTAGATGTATGTTCGATTTTACATGCTTTCTTATGTAAAAAAAAAAAGTAGATATATGCTCGTAGTGCTACGTAATTGAACATAGATCTACGTTTGGACAGTTTAAGGGTTAAAAGAGAGGTTTAGGATATTGGCAGTTAGGAGGGACATCTAAACTGTTGTATCTGAGCGCCTCTGCAAAGACAGTGATTATGTATGAATGACAGTAAAAGTGTTGAATGACTAAAGTTTTTTTTTCTTTCTTTTTGGGTTAACTTGCCTCAGTGGGAAATGGCTGACGTGTTAAAAAAAAAAAATTTATATTGTACACTAACCTGAAGAGCAGCAAACATTAGCATCTCCTCCTCAGTACAATCAATTTCTTCATTCATAATGGCCCACTTGGCCTGTTCAAAGATCAGGTTAATGCGGACTGCATCATATTTGGGGTTTAAATCATAAAAGGAGAAAAACTTGAAACGAAGTAAGAGTGTATCAAAGTCTCGTATACCTTGTTCCATTATTGAGAGCGATGAATCGAGCCATCTGAAAGTTAATAAAGAAATGTGAATGCAAAACTTAAAAAGGATGTCAATAATTAAAACACAGTAAATGTAGAAATTCAGTGCCAGAAACAAAAAAACTGAAGAAAAACCTTTAACATACAGCACTACATAGATACAACTCTTTCTTTCGAACACCGGCCATATCCCACTGAGACAGGGTGGCCCAAAAATAAAAACAAAAGTTTTTCTTTTGAAATTTAGCAATATACACAGGAGAAGGGGTTACCAGCCCTTTGCTCCCCACATTTTAGTTGCCTCTTACAACACACATGGCTTACAGAGGAAGAATTCTTTTCCACTTCCCCATGGAGATGCATACAATTTTTTTTTTTTTTTCATACAAATATAAATAATTTATTTCTTTTCTGCAGTATACAGCTAATGTACTCTACACATAATAAAATATTGCTAGGCACATAAAGCCACTAATATGGAGAACATTTTGAGCAGAATGCTGCAAGTCTATTAGCAGAAATACAATACATATATCATAACTGTCAATGCCAAAAAACTCCACTGTTAATTTCTCCCTTTTACATCATCTAATATAGCTGTAGAAATAAGGAAGAAAACATTTTGTTTCAGAGGCCATCTCTGCTTAATAAATTCACAAATCTCAATAATATTTACACTTACCTGGAGTTTACCTGGAGAGAGTTCCAGGGGTCAACGCCCCCACAGCCCGGTCTGTGACCAGGCCTCCTTAGGTCAGTGTCCCAGGATGCGACCCACACCAGTCGACTAACACCCAGGTACCCATTTTACTGATGGGGAACATAGACAACAGGTGGAAAGAAACACGTCCAATGTTTCTACTCTGGCTGGGAATCGAACCCAGGCCCTCACCATGTGAAGCGAGAGCGTTAACCACCAGGCCACCAGAGCCCAAGACAATCACTGAACTAAAGATGGTGAAGGTGTATCATCTTTTTTTTCTTGGGCCTCCCCCACCTCGGTGGTATATGGCCAGTGTGTTAAAAGAATAAATAGACAGAAAAGCAATTTTTTTTTTTATTATTATCACACTGGCCGATTCCCACCAAGGCAGGGTGGCCCGAAAAAGAAAAACTTCCACCATCATTCACTCCATCACTGTCTTGCCAGAAGGGTGCTCTACACTACAGTTTTTAAACTGCAACATTAACACCCCTCCTTCAGAGTGCAGGCACTGTACTTCCCATCTCCAGGATTCAAGTCCAGCCTGCCGGTTTCCCTGAACCCCTTCATAAATGTTACTTTGCTCACACTCCAACAGCATGTCAAGTATTAAAAACCATTAGTCTCCATTCACTCCTATCAAACACGCTCACGCATGCCTGCTGGAAGTCCAAGCCCCTCGCACACAAAACCTCCTTTACCCACTCCCTCCAACCATTCCTAGGCCGACCCCTACCCCGCCTTCCTTCCACTACAGACTGATACAATCTTGAAGTCACTCTGTTTCGCTACATTCTCTCTACATGTCCGAACCACCTCAACAACCCTTCCTCAGCCCTCTGGACAACAGTTTTGGTAATCCCGCACCTCCTCCTAACTTCCAAACCACGAATTCTCTGCATTATATTCACACCACACATTGCCCTCAGACATGACATCTCCACTGCCTCCAGCCTTCTCCTCGCTGCAACATGCTTCACACCCATATAAGAGCATTGGTAAAACTATACTCTCATACATTCCCCTCTTTGCCTCCAAGGACAAAGTTCTTTGTCTCCACAGACTCCTGAGTGCACCACTCACCCTTTTTCCCTCATCAATTCTATGATTCACCTCATCTTTCATAGACCGATCCGCTGACACGTCCACTCCCAAATATCTGAATACATTCACCTCCTCCATACTCTCTCCCTCCAATCTGATATCCAATCTTTCATCACCTAATCTTTTTGTTATCCTCATAACCTTACTCTTTCCTGTATTCACTTTTAATTTTCTTCTTTTGCACAACCTACCAAATTCATCCACCAATCTCTGCAACTTCTCTTCAGAATCTCCCAAAAGCACAGTGTCATCAGCAAAGAGAAACTGTGACAACTCCCACTTTATGTGTGATTCTTTATCTTTTAACTCCACGCCTTTTGTCAAGACCCTCGCATTTACTTCTCTTACAACCCCATCTATAAATATATTAAACAACCATGGTGACATCACACATCCTTGTCTAAGGCCTACTTTTACTGGGAAATAATTTCCCTCTTTCCTACATACTCTAACTTGAGCCTCACTATCCTCGTAAAAACTCTTCACTGCTTTCAGTAACCTACCTCCTACACCATACACCTGCAACATCTGCCACATTGCCCCCCTATCCACCCTGTCACACGCCTTTTCCAAATCCATAAATGCCACAAAGACCTCTTTAGCCTTATCTAAATACTGTTCACTTATATGTTTCACTGTAAACACCTGGTCCACACACCCCCTACCTTTCTTAAAGCCTCCTTGTTCATCTGCTATCCTATTCTCCGTCTTACTCTTAATTCTTTCAATAATACCTCTTCCATACACTTTACCAGGTATACTCAACAGACTTACCCCCCTATAATTTTTGCACTCTCTTTTGTCCCCTTTGCCTTTATACAAAGGAGCTATGCATGCTCTCTGCCAATCCCTAGGTACCTTACCCTCTTCCATACATTTATTAAATAATTGCACCAACCACTCCAAAACTATATCCCCACCTTCTTTTAACATTTCTATCTTTATCCCATCAATCCCGGCTGCCTTACCCCCTTTCATTTTACCTACTGCCTCACGAACTTCCCCCACACTCACAACTGGCTCTTCCTCACTCCTACAAGATGTTATTCCTCCTTGCCCTATACACGAAATCACAGCTTCCCTATCTTCATCAACATTTAACAATTCCTCAAAATATTCCCTCCATCTTCCCAATACCTCTAACTCTCCTCTTCTATTTTTAACTGACAAATCCATTTGTTCTCTAGGCTTCCTTAACTTGTTAATCTCACTCCAAAGCTTTTTCTTATTTTCAACAAAATTTGTTGATAACATCTCACCCACTCTTTCATTTGCTCTCTTTTTACATTGCTTCACCACTCTCTTAACCTCTCTCTTTTTCTCCATATACTCTTCCCTCCTTGCATCACTTCTACTTTGTAAAAACTTCTCATATGCTAACTTTTTCTCCCTTACTGCTCTCTTTACATCATCATTCCACCAATCGCTCCTCTTCCCTCCTGCACCCACTTTCCTGTAACCACAAACTTCTGCTGAACACTCTAACACTACATTTTTAAACCTACCCCATACCTCTTCGACCCCATTGCCTATGCTCTCATTAGCCCATCTATCCTCCAATAGCTGTTTATATCTTACCCTAACTGCCTCCTCTTTTAGTTTATAAACCTTCACCTCTCTCTTCCCTGATGCTTCTATTCTCCTTGTACCCCATCTACCTTTTACTCTCAGTGTAGCTACAACTAGAAAGTGATCTGATATATCTGTGGCCCCTCTATAAACATGTACATCCTGAAGTCTACTCAACAGTCTTTTATCTACCAATACATAATCCAACAAACTACTGTCATTTTGCCCTACATCATATCTTGTATACTTATTTATCCTCTTTTTCTTAAAATATGTATTACCTATAACTAAACCCCTTTCTATACAAAGTTCAATCAAAGGGCTCCCATTATCATTTACACCTGGCACCCCAAACTTACCTACCACACCCTCTCTAAAAGTTTCTCCTACTTTAGCATTCAGATCCCCTACCACAATTACTCTCTCACTTGGTTCAAAGGCTCCTATACATTCACTTAACATCTCCCAAAATCTCTCTCTCTCCTCTACATTCCTCTCTTCTCCAGGTGCATACACGCTTATTATGACCCACTTTTCACATCCAACCTTTACTTTAATCCACATAATTCTTGAATTTACACATTCATATTCTCTTTTCTCCTTCCATAACTGATCCTTCAACATTACTGCTACCCCTTCCTTTGCTCTAACTCTCTCAGATACTCCAGATTTAATCCCATTTATTTCCCCCCACCAAAACTTCCCTACCCCCTTCAGCTTTGTTTCGCTAAGGGCCAGGACATCCAACTTCTTTTCATTCATAACATCAGCAATTATCTGTTTCTTGTCATCCGCACTACATCCACGCACATTCAAGCATCCCAGTTTTATAAAGTTTTTCTTCTTCTCTTTTTTAGTAAATGTCTACAGGAGAAGGGGTTACTAGCCCATTGCTCCTGGCATTTTAGTCGCCTCATACGACATGCATAGCTTACGGAGGAAAGATTCTTTTCCACTTCCCCATGGACAATAGAAGAAATAAAGAAGAACAAGAGCTATTTAGAAAAAGGGGAAAAACCTAGATGTATGTATATATATATATGCATGTGCGTGTCTGTGAAGTGTGACCAAAGTGTAAGTAGGAGTAGCAAGATATCCCTGTTATCTAGCATGTTCATGAGACAGAAAAAGAAACCAGCAATCCTACCATCATGCAAAACAGTTACAGGTTTCTGTTTCACAGTCATCTGGCAGGACGCTAGTACTTCCCTGGGTGGTTGCTGTCTACCAACCTACTACCTGCAATTTGGGCATGGGAAATGCAGTGAGCACATATTGAACAAAATCCTATAACCTGTTTTCAATTTGGAGGACTGCTCCAGACATTGCTTCTAGATGTACCAGGGCTCTTCTCAATAAAAAAAGACTGTAAGCTGGCTATTAATATATGCAGTGTCTTGCATGTGTCTTGAGTATCAACTGCTTAAGTTATTTTCTGCTGAATTCACAGATTGAGAAATTATTTCAGTCTTATTTGCATTCTCTGTTCCATTTTTTCAGTAGGTCACAATCAGGGTTACTGAAATTGAACGAATCATTCATGTTCTAACACCAAGAGCACATGCTGTCTCCATAACACATGCAGCACTCCTCAGCATTTCAATAACATCGGATTTCTTCACTAGAGGCATAGTTTCATGCTTAAACTTCTTGGCACCTTACCATTACTAAAATCCATCTTTTAATGCCATGATTAATATCCAGGCATGAGATGGGGTGATGAAAAAATAAAAAAATGGAATGATAAACACAGAAGAGAGTAATTATATGCTACACTACATAAATAACCCACACACAGGAGAAAGAAACTTATGGTGACGTTTCAGTCCGACTTGGACCATTAGTTTGTCATTTAACTAGTTAATGGCCCAAGTTGGACCGAAACGTCATCATAAGTTTCTTTCTACTGTGTGCTGGTTATCTGTATATTATTCCACTCATGGTATTGTGCCTTTTTATTCTTGAACTATATATGATACATGTCTATGAGGTTACTGGTGGCCCAAGGCATATGGGAGGGAAAATATCCTGCATGCAACAGGACAAAAATATAGGCATTTACAGAGAAAGGTAGTAAGAGGACACACAAGTTAATCATGGTGTAATGGTTATGTAGCAACTGAATGTGCAGTTTACAGTAAGCTGTTAATTTGCTCTAAAGAAATTATAATCTTGAAATTAAATAAGTGGAAATAAAATGTAACTGAAACATTGAAAATAAATTATCAAAACACTAACCCAACATTTATACGAGCTCTTTCAAGGAGAGATTTAGGGCGAAGGAGCGAGTTGCGTGCCTCTTCTGATGGAAGCATCGGAGAGTTGGCAAGAGATGAGCTCAGATCATCAGCTCCATCAATGCTGTCCATGGTGCTGTTGTGGCTTCCCACACCATTGCTGTTGAATCTCCATGTTCCACCCTGTCAAGAACATAATTTTATGATTTTTTTTTTTATTAACCAGTACAGTTATCATCAGAATCCCAATTTTTAGGAAATAAATCAGGCTCTAAACAAAAAGATTAATAGCTAAACAATTCTACTCAACACTCCTGTTTATTGTGTATGGACATAAATGCACACTAGGTGAATACATACTCTAACCATAGCACTATATGCTACACAATGAACTCTTAAATTGTTTCCAAAGTATGCCTGCATCAGAGCAGCCGAATATCCAATACATGCAGTACACCTAGTTGTATTTACCTCAAAAAATGCTTTTAACAAATTTGCCTTCAAAAAAAAAAAAAAAAATTGAATGAAATCACAAACTTTCTATGGGCTGGATTAACCAGCAACAGTGAGGAATGGAATTCTGAAAAGGATTTCTCTGGTTCTGAAGGAAAGCAGATTACTCACAGCACCACTCTAAGTGGTGGTGTCTAACACGAGATATAGCTGTAGCATCCACTGCCAGTGGATGCTATACTTGTGTGGTATACACCATGTGCCACCCCTATGTGGGCCTCTCTGTCCGTTACTCTAGTGTCATGTGACTCTGACCTGAACAGCGCCCAGCTGGGCCGTAGGTCGATCAGTTAGATTCAGGAAAAGATTGGGACCAGATGTACAAGAAGGCTGGACTTCATCTTATTCTGCCAATACATGAATAACAGTCCCTCCAATTGTGTCATTGCTACATGAAGACTGAAGGGAGAATGACTGAACTGAGTAGTCTGTGTAACAACAGTGGACAGAAATGCAATTATAAGTTCAAAAGTGTTGATTCAGACATTAAACTTTTTTTATAACAAACTGGCCATCTCCCACTGAGGTAGGGTGACCTGTAAAAGAAGGAACACTTTCACCATCACTCCATCACTGTCAACACAGAATGGTAGTCTAAACCCTTGATGAGTGAGTGGTAAAACTCCAGGCCAATGTGTAAGCCACTGTAGCCAGCTGGCCCAGTGGCTTACACACTGGCCTGGAGTTTTAGGTCTCACTTGCCATGGGTTCAAATCTCCACCCATTCTGTCCTTTGTTTCCTATTGTGTTATTACAATTTCGAGTGCAGGCCTTGTACTTCCCACCTCCATGGGGAAGTGGAGAAGAATTCTTCCTTCCTAAGCCATGCGTGTTGTAAGAGGTGGCTAAAATGCAGGGAGCAAGGGGCTAGTAATCCCTTCACTGTATTAATTGGTAAATGTAAAAAGAACAATTTTATATTAGACTATTAAGCATAAACCCATCTGCCATCAGAGAAGGTGTAGTAATGCCTCATTTGTCGTTTCATTATTCTATGGAAAATCTTCTGATAACGGAGATGAGGAAGAAAAATGGAGTGAAAATAAAATAACAGCAAAAGCGATTGTGCTGATGTTATTCTTAGTAATATACCAGCAGGAGCTGAAGTGCCACAATCTATTGCTCCACAAACACTACAAGTTGCCATGACACCACCACCAGCCCTAACTCATCCAGGTGCCCTGTAAAACCACATGTGCCATCACCAATACCCCTAACACCACCAGCTTCCTTGCCACCAAGTATCATAAACCAAATGTAATATTGTACCACTACCAAATGTCACAACACCATCAGGCGTTGGAGCTGGCAGGAAGATTTTTCATGTCCCAGAGGCAAACTGGCCATACAGGCACTTGGCCAATCCTCGGTGGGCCTCTGCGATGGTAAAAAAAAAAAAAAGTTAAAGTTGCTGCACAAAGATTGAAACTAAAATGGAATGTGCCTTAACTGAGCAGTGAAAACATGCTTCTGGCCCTCAGTCTGTTAGTCAGTGTGGCACTGACAGTGGTCGAGCACACTTGATAGGTGGCTTATTCCTCTATAATTTTTACAACCTCTTTTGTCCCCCTTTCCTTTATATAAAGGAACTATACATGCTCTCTGCCAATCCCTAGGTACCTTCCTCTCTTTCACACATTTATTAAACAAAAATACCAGCCACTCCAACACTATATTCTCACTTGCTTTTAACATTTGTGTCATGACCCTATCAGTTCCAGCTGCTTTACCCCCTTTCATTCTACGTAATGTCTCATGCACCTCCCCCACACTCACATCCTGCTCTTCTTCACTCCCAAAAGATGTTATACCCCCCCTCCCTGGCCAGTGCATGAAATTACCGCCTCCCTTTCTTCATTGACATTTAAAATACACAAATAACCCGCACATAGAAGAGAGGAGCTTACGACGACGTTTCGGTCCGACTTGGACCATTTACAAAGTCACACTGTGACTTCGTAAATGGTCCAAGTCAGGCCGAAACATCGTCATAAGCTCCTCGCTTCTACATGCGGGTTATCTGTGTATCGTTCCAGTCACGGTATTGTGGCTTTTTTTGTTATTGACATTTAAAAGTTCCTCAAAATATTCCTGCCATCTACCCAAGACCAGCTCCCCATCTACTAACTCCCCTACTCTGTTTTTTAACTGATGAATCCATTCATTCCCTAGGCTTTCTTAACTTGTTTAACCCTTTGAGGGTTTTGGTTGTACTAGTATTGAAAGAATTAAGAGTAAGACGGAGAATAGGATAGCAGATGAACAAGGAGGCTTTAGGAAAGGTAGGGGGTGTGTGGACCAGGTGTTTACAGTGAAACATATAAGTGAACAGTATTTAGATAAGGCTAAAGAGGTCTTTGTGGCATTTATGGATTTGGAAAAGGCGTATGACAGGGTGGATAGGGGGCAATGTGGCAGATGTTGCAAGTGTATGGTGTAGGAGGTAGGTTACTGAAAGCAGTGAAGAGTTTTTACGAGGATAGTGAGGCTCAAGTTAGAGTATGTAGGAAAGAGGGAAATTATTTCCCAGTAAAAGTAGGCCTTAGACAAGGATGTGTGATGTCACCGTGGTTGTTTAATATATTTATAGATGGGGTTGTAAGAGAAGTAAATGCAAAGGTCTTGACAAGAGGCATGGAGTTAAAAGATAAAGAATCACACACAAAGTGGGAGTTGTCACAGGTGCTCTTTGCTGATGACACTGTGCTCTTGGGAGATTCTGAAGAGAAGTTGCAGAGATTGGTGGATGAATTTGGTAGGGTGTGCAAAAGAAGAAAATTAAAGGTGAATACAGGAAAGAGTAAGGTTATGAAGATAACAAAAACATTAGGTGATGAAAGATTGAATATTAGATTGGAGGGAGAGAGTATGGAGGAGGTGAATGTATTCAGATATTTGGGAGTGGACGTGTCAGCGGATGGGTCTATGAAAGATGAGGTGAATCATAGAATTGATGAGGGAAAATGAGTGAGTGGTGCACTTAGGAGTCTGTGGAGACAAAGAACTTTGTCCTTGGAGGCAAAGAGGGGAATGTATGAGAGTATAGTTTTACCAACGCTCTTATATGGGTGTGAAGCATGGGTGATGAATGTTGCAGCAAGGAGAAGGCTGGAGGCAGTGGAGATGTCATGTCTGAGGGCAATGTGTGGTGTGAATATAATGCAGAGAATTCGTAGTTTGGAAGTTAGGAGGAGGTGCGGGATTACCAAAACTGTTGTCCAGAGGGCTGAGGAAGGGTTGTTGAGGTGGTTCGGACATGTAGAGAGAATGGAGCGAAACAGAATGACTTCAAGAGTGTATCAGTCTGTAGTGGAAGGAAGGCGGGGTAGGGGTCGGCCTAGGAAAGGTTGGAGAGAGGTTGTAAAGGAGGTTTTGTGTGCGAGAGGCTTGGACTTCCAGCAGGTATGCATGAGCGTGTTTGATAGGAGTGAATGGAGACAAATGGTTTTTAATACTTGACGTGCTGTTGGAGTGTGAGCAAAGTAACATTTATGAAGGGGTTCAGGGAAACCGGCAGGCCGGACTTGAGTCCTGGAGATGGGAAGTACAGTGCCTGCACTCTGAAGGAGGGGTGTTAATGTTGCAGTTTAAAAACTGTAGTGTAAAGCACCCTTCTGGCAAGACAGTGATGGAGTGAATGATGGTGAAAGTTTTTCTTTTTCGGGCCACCCTGCCTTGGTGGGAATCGGCCAGAGTGATAATAAAAAATTAAAAAAAAAATAGTACGTCTTACGCGTAGGGGTTTTTGACGTACTAGTACGCATAAATTCTAGCGGCCTCAAATCTAGTGGGAGAAAGCTGGTAGGCCTTCATATGAAAGAATGGGTCTATGTGGTCAGTGTGCACAGTCTAAAAAAAATCCTGCAGCACACAGTGCATAATGAGAAAAAAAAAACTTTGACCATTTTTTTGGAATAAATCAGCGACTTTGCAGTGTATTTTCGTATGGTATTTATTGTTGTATTCTAGTTTTTCTTGGGCTCATTTTATAGAATGGAAGACATATTACAGAAATTGAGATGATTTTGACTGGTTTTACAATGAAAGGTGCCTTGAAATTGAGCTCAAAGTAGCAGAAATGTTCGATTTTTACCAAACTTCAAAAGTAAACAAATCGTGCCAAGCGTGCAATACACGTCAACTGGTGAGTCTAATATTCTTTCACAAGTGCACCAATAATATTTATACCATTTTTTACACTAATGCAGTAGTCTGCATAACAGTAAATCTTATATTTTTTGGGAGAATAAAAATTCAAAGTGGAAAGCAAAAGAATATAAGAGGGGCCTTGAGACGTGACTAATGACTAGAGGAAATGTCATTTTAGTGCAGGAATGTCTTTCTTGTTTATTCTGGACCCTATTCGGAAATTGGCATCTTTTGAAATTTGTGTGAAATTGGCAAAAATTGCTAAATTCTGACCACTGTACTGGATAGTTGAATTTCATAAATGGGTTGTTTCTTGCACCCATTCGATAGAAAAAATGGAGTTCTAGCGAATATATTCATGTTTTTTGTCGACTAATACAGTGAAATTGGCCGAAAATGGGGCTCAAAGTGGGCAAAATCGCCGATGCGTAAACATCGCTGAGACCGCTAACTTTGCGAGAGCATAATTCCGTAAGTTTTCTATCAAATTTCAAACTTTTGGTGTCTTTATGATCAGGAAA